CCCGGACCCTGGACGCACCCGGACTCCCGCCGTGCGGCGTTGGCGAGGAGCAGCGAGGTCTTGGTGATTTCAGGGCGCGGAGAAGTTTCCCTGTTGGGGCTGGAAACCTGGGGGTGCGTGCGGCAGGAGATGGGGGCTCCCGCCGAGGGACTCAGGGTGAGAGCCCAACCACTGGCCTCTCCCCCGTAGGAGGAGACCCCCCCTTCCCTTCCCAGGGCAGATGTGAGGCTGCCACCGCGTAGCCTGGCTTGGCGTGAACATTCCTCGGTTGGCCTCCAGGACGGTTGGGGTGGTCCGTTTTCTCTTTAGTTCTCGCTCCCCCACCCCCTTTCCTGGTCGCTGAAGGGGAACCGAAAGTGGCGAAGTTTGCAGATCAGGGGAGCTGTCCTAACACCATAATCACACGCACACGTCCATACCTTGACCTCTCCTAGCCGAGCCCTGATGGTGGAACCCCCGGCTCAGCGATCGACACGGCGAAGAGGGAAGGATTAGCATCGCCAAGGAGTCTTCCCTGGAAATCCAAGTGATCACTCCCCTCGGACCTTCCTTTCCACCGGCTGCTCCTTTGAAAACACATCAACAAACAAACACGGTCCACAGGGAGATCCCGGCGGCAGCCGCGGGGAGAGCCGGGGCACGGGGAAGGGGTGGAGGGCAAGCAGGGGCAGATAAGGCGAGGGGCAAGTGCCAGGCCAGCGGATTACGTTACATTTCCTCCCATCACCAGATTTCCAGGAAGGCGGACCTGGATGTGTGCATAAAATGCACACCCTGGAGCGGCTAAGACTTTGAAAGCAGCTTTAGAGGAGGTTAACCTTGACTGGTTGGAGCTAAGGGGGTGGGGGCGAGGCAAATATTTCTGCTTGTGCCCTCCGGTTCTTCCCAGCGCCGGCTGTCAATCCCCTCGCTAGTTATCCTCACAAGGCTTCAGTTTGTTTGCCTGATCTCAGCAAGGTTTTCTCCCACAAGTAGAACTATAATTGCTATAATTCTACTGTATCATTTGGATCATTGCAGTATTGTTGTTTTCTCTCCCTCTTTCTCTCCTCCTAACACTGCAGTAACACGCTCCAGTGTTAAATTAGCAGGTTGCGGAAGACCATAAATGAAAGTTTGTTTCTTAAAAAAAAAAGAAAGAAGGAAGGAAATTAAATAAATAAAACAGCCAAATGACTTGGCAAAGGGGATAGCACATCACAGAGAATCCTTGCGTGTAATCAGGACTTATTGTCTTGCCTTCCAATGGCTTCCAAATTGGTCACCAGACTCCAATGAAGTTTATTTCTATTGTTTAAATATATGTTTTGAAGAGGTTGAGCATAATTTAAGGGGACCTGAGCCTTCCGGTGTGGCTGGAAGCCCGTGACAGCTTTATTTATCTATGTGTATATTGCACAATAAATTAAGGCATCTCAAATGAGAAGTGTGCAAGGTTAACGCCTCCAAACATTTTCCCTGTATAATGCCATCTAACTGCTACCCCCGTATCCAGTATTTCTTGCAAATACAATTTTGAAACTACCATGTAGAATTAGCTCTCACCACAGAAAAGAACGGGGTTTCTTCCATTCACCTCTTCCAGGTAATTACTGCTTCCAGTCCTGGGGACCAGCCTCATGTTTCCCATAAGCAACAGTTTTAAACACTTCTGACCCTCGCTTCTGGCCACGATCGTCCTTTTCATTTTAGTGGCTGATTTTTAAAGCAGACGAACTGCCGACCATTGTTTTCCAGGCAGCCCAGGAGAAGAAATCCAACAATTACAAACCCCGAAGACAAGAGGAGCCAAGAGTTGTGAATAACCAAGTACAAACGTGAAGAATAGCATCGCTGATATGAAATGACTTTTGATTAGTGGGTAAAAGAAAGGGAACAAAGTGAGGTGAAAAGAAAGTGAAGTGTCATTTTGCTTTGAGGGTACATATGAAATTGACATTTCATACATAATCTTATATAGCCCGATTCTTAAAAGTCTACCTAACTCAACACATGAATTCAATTCTCCCCAAATATTAGAGGCAACAATGTTTGTTTTCTAAAATAACATATAGGATAACACACATCTTAATCCCGTATTCTGATTAGGCACTATGGAAACGCCAACATCTGTGTCTCCCTGTGGGTATGTTAGTTAGTAAACTTTTCTGAGATTTAAGAAAAACTAATCTTGAGGGAATGGCCAGCATGGGTTGTAGATTTTGAAGTTGAGTATTGTGATAAAGATCATTTTGGCGCTGCTGGGTGTAAAGTTAGCTGGGCCAGGCCCCTCTCCCAGAAGTCACTTGAAAGATTGATTAGAAAGTACCCAAAATAAACAAAATAAAATCACAAAGCTAGTGTTTTCACACAAGTTTCCCAAAGAAACACATTCTATTCCATTAATAGAATTAGATTTAATTCCAGGGGACATTAAGTCAGAACCAGAAATTCTATGTTAACCTCCCCTTTTACAATGGGTGATTAAAATTAGAATACACCCCAGCAGAAAGTCCAACTTCTTTTTTTTTTTTAAAGGAGAACAGCTGCAAAAGGGGGAGGAGGGGGATGGAGAGTTGAAACCCCCGTTGAGTTCTCAGAAATGATTTGTGCATTTTGTGTATCTTTTTTATTTCATAGACTCTTTTTTGGACTTATTTCCAGCCCGCTCTTTGCGTGTGCGGAGCCGACTCTGAAGTCACGCAGCCACCCCGCAGCCGGGTCTTGTGGATTTCCGACGCGGGGCCCGCCGGGGAGGGAAAAGTGTCGGCGTCTTGCTCCCAGCAACTAGCGCAGGGACTCCCGCGAGGGTCCGCAGCAGGAGGCTGCGGGGACACCGCGGTGTCTTTCCGCCTCTCCGCTGTGCTGAGACCCGCGCGGCGGGCCGGAGTGGGCTCTCCGGGGCCGGGAGGGAAGGAAGAGGGAATCGGCGCACAGAAGGTTAGTTTAAAGCTGAACGGGACGATACAAAAACACCAAACTATCGGTGAGGATGGAAAAGGAAGAATGCAGGAAAGGCAGAAGATTAGGTGCCTTGGAACAGCAGAGCGGGCTGAAGAGAAAGGCAAATGTCCGTGGGCGCGGTAGAGGGGGTCAGTGGGGGTGGGGGGGGGAGATGGGGACATCTGTAATACTTTCAACAATAAAGATAAATTTTGAAAAAAAAGAAAAATGTCGAAGATATTGAGGTTCTCCTCTGTCCCCCATCGCCATCATCCAAGTATGGGAAAAAAACTGGTGAGAATCAAACTAAAAGCCAGAGGGAGACAGAGACGGAAAGGGACAGAGAGAGGCATCCTTTTCCGCTTGCCTTTAACAGCAGGAGTAAGATCAGCATTAGAATTTACACTGTCAATGCGCCTGTTTCCAACGCTTCATCACCCTCAAGTAGTGGCTTGAATGCTCCTGCCAAGCCAGTCCGCACTGTCTGCCATCCACCCACCAGCATCCAAGAGTTATGCAGATGTTTATGGCTGAAAAAAACACATCCCAGTTATGCATCCTTGTATTTTAAAATACCGTCTGAAAGTGATTCAAGTATAATCCTTTGTAAAACGCTTTTCTCTTTGACACATTGGAGGGGTTGAGAGAGGAAAACCCGGCATGGATTCCGCCTCCCCGGCCCCTCTCCCAACCAAAATCCTCGGCCCCCTGGCCCCCTGCCAGCATCGGGGTCCCTGGCTGTCCCCTGGGTCCTGCACCCAGGCCACGAGAACGTCCGTGCCAGCCCCTCGCCCGGGCTCGGCCCAACTTCAATCCGAGTTGGATCTTAGTTCTCAGTTCTGGACGCGCAGGAAGCTGCTTGGGGAAGAAACACACTCTCCCCCAGGCTGACTCTCTCACCTTCGCCTCTGGAAGCCAGGCCAAGGGAAGTCAGGAATGTTAGGCGCTTAGATTTGGTTGAAGCGAGCCCGGGTCCCTCCCGTGCCGGAGGCTCGGTCCCCTGCAGGTTCTGCTCCGCGCGCGGTGTGAGAGCGTCCAGCCTCAAGACATCGGCCTAACTAACGAGGCGAACTTGGGGGGGGGGGGGGGGACGAGTCCGAGGAGAGGAGGGGGACTCCCAAACCTGTCCCCAGCCGCCCCTCCTCGCAACTGACACTCTCCCGTCCCTTTCCGTCCTGTAGGTAAGGCCTCGCGCCTTTGGCAGAGCTTTGTCTTCAAGGGGACTTTTTTCAGAGTTAAAGATGGAGATGAGAGAGGTTCGAGGAAGCTACCGAGAAGAGAGCAACTGCCGGGTTCTGGGTGAAGACACAAGAGAAAACTGAACGCCCCAACCGCAGATGTTTGCTTGCGGCGTCACCCTGGCACCTCGGAGGCCCGTCCGACCTGAAGAGGATGGCGACTGAGCGCCACTGAGGTCAAGGCACTGTCCTGGCAGCGCAGTATGGCTTTGAAAAGTGCCAAGTCGGTCTGAACGCGAGCCTCAAGGGCTCGCCTCCAGGGAGCGAGGGCCTCCGGTGGGTGGAAGGGGCGCACGTCGCCTAAGTAGCACCCACAGGTAGAGCTTCGGGCCAGCCCTAAAGGGTTAAAGGAGAAGCTGCAAGAAGAGGATGGAGAACTAAGAAAGTTGTTCATTAAAAACAAAAACAAAAAAAGTTAAAGAAAATTGACTAGGGTAGTGCCCACTGCTCCTCCCCCCCACGCCCCCACCCCCGCCGGCCTTTCCGTAATCCAGTCCGGGCTTTGCGCTCATCCCACAGACGGGCCGCAGCCAGGCCTCTGGCGAGAGCCAATCAGAGGGCGCCTCTGAGCACGTGGAGGAGAGAGACTCCAGAGCTCCGCTCTCCGGGCTCACTACACTTGTTACTGCTTGTCCTGAGCAAGGAGAGGGCGAGCTCTGGCCACCGGCAGGGCAGGAGCCGGCAGCCAACAACTAAGGGAGGCAAAGAGACACAGAGATCGCAATAATATCCATTATAACCCCCATCTACCCCTAGCCCCCAACACACACCCATCCATCCCACCCGCCTGGAGAGGCAGAGAGCGGCCCGCTTTCTGTGCCCAAGGAAAAAGCCCCAGCCATGAGCAATCAGTACCAGGAGGAGGGCTGCTCCGAGAGGCCCGAGTGCAAAAGTAAATCTCCAACTTTGCTCTCCTCCTACTGCATCGAAAGCATCCTGGGCCGGAGGAGCCCGTGCAAAATGCGGCTGCTGGGAGCCGCGCAGAGCTTGCCCGCCCCGCTGGCTAGCCGCGCCGACCAGGAAAAGGCCTTGCAAGGTAAGGCTGCGCCCCGCCAGGCACCTGCAAAGGGCTGTGGGCACTGGTTTGGATGTTCGATCGGGGTCAGGGCCCTGGGGTGGTCAAGATGGAGACGGAGGAAAGAGAGGGAACAACTTTGAGGCCTGGTGTCTCAAAGCTTCCCCAGGGGCTGTCTCTCCTTCCCTCTCTGCTTCCAGAAAAAGCAGAGGCCAAGCTTCTCTTTGGGGGCCCTTAGGTTCTTGGTGTTGGTTCTTAGGTCGTTTAATTGCCCCCTTTGGTGGCCTTGGGGGTGCTCTGAAGAGGCGCACAGGTCAGAAACCGCAGGTGCTGGGTGGACCCTTGTAACAACTTGATGAAGACAAGAACCCCAAGATCTGAGAGTGGGGGGTGTCCAGGCAGAGTGAGCCTTGGCCTTTCCTCTTTGGGAGATTTCTTTAAAGGTGGTACTTGGCTTTTATTTTTGTAAGCATTGTATGTTACTTGTATCTTTAAACCCAATCTTTGCAAAAACATCTCCCAGGGATTCTCGAAATGCTACTTACTGTATTTGAAATGTATGAAATGTGCAGCTTCTGGATGCTATTTTCTCTCTGCTATGTTATTTTTAAAAATAGAGTTGAGATGTTTAAAAGGTTTTGTTTTTTTCTAAATTTAAAAATTCCATAACAACTGTGTTACACTCAAGTTTCGCCTTGAGCTGGCTGCAGAGGTGTCGCAGGGAAAGCATTGTTGATTTCTCTTAAAGCCCGAAAACCAGCCGTCCAGCCACATGGAAGACTGGAGCCGATGGTGGGGCGGAGAAGGGGCCATTTAAAATAAGACTGACTTTTTCCTTTTCTTTTTTTAGCCTGCTGTGGCACCTGTGCCAGGCACTTCCTCGAAGGGAAGGGGCAGCCTTGCCTGTCGCACCCCCCCCTCCACCCCCACTCGAGCCCTTCTGAGCCTATTTTCACCAGGACAATTTTTCTTGGCCTTTCTGGGCACGGAGCTCCCGCCCTACTGGGCTGCTGGCTGCTGACTGCTGGGGTGCGGCCCGGCTTCCCCCAGGGGTCCCCCTCCGGCCAGCGCCCCTCTGGCCACCCAAGGCCCCCAGGGCAGAGCAGCAGACATTCGTCCTGCACAAAGTTTTCAGGGAGACAATCTTTTTTTTTTTTAAGTTGTTGAATGTTTTCAGATTCTCCCTGCCCTGAAATGGG